TTATCGAATCGATTCTCCTGCATGATTAACTGCTAAACTGACACCGTTGATAAGAGGGCTAATAAATTATCATTGGTTACCACCATATAAAAGACACGAATTGACGTGAATTTCTCCGAAGGGAAGAATATACGTATAGAAACAAGAGGTAAACATAGTTTGGCTGAAGATTATTGAAATTGATTTTTCGAGAGATTACATCGGAACGTTTCACTTGGAGTAAGTAATAACGATCTCTGGTTCCACGGGTGTTCCAATGTTTCTTAGAACGTAATCGTTTTCACACCAAATACCGAGAGTACGCGTCTCCAGGACGCCATGGAGGGTCTCTTAACCATGGGATCAGTGTACACGTGCGCTCAACCGCCTCTCCTTAAAACGTCGCATGACAGCCGGCAGTGTGCACGCTGTTTGTCTGACGGGTTTATCCTTGCTGGTATCTCGACTGGGACAGTCTATCGATCGCTTAATTATCGTGGGCCACTTATTCGACCTCTCTCTGTCGTTTAATTCCGCTGTTCAAGCGTGCAAGGATCGATTGGAAAACGTTTTGCGTACATTTCGCGCCACGTTCCAACTGTCCAGTCGAGTAAACTCTCACTTCTATAGTTTCCTTGTGAATGCGTATGGGTGTTTATGGGGCTCTATCTGGGGGTAATTGGTTGAAGGGAAGCGGGCACACTGTCTTATCTATTTTCTCTTCTGGCCTCTTTTTCCAGTCTCTTTTGGATATCCCTCGATTAATGTCATTTCCCTCGTTAATTGTCACCTGTCTTTTCAGAATGTCCCGACGGTGAACGGTCCTGCGACAACGGAGTCTGCATCAGCTGGAAGTTCATATGCGACGGCCATGTCGACTGTCTCGATGGCAGCGACGAACACGGCTGCAGTAAGGATAGAGACCGTTTCGAAGCTGTTTAAAGGGGCTTTCTTAACGTTTAGACACCTGTCCTCATCCTGGATCCCATTTCAATTCACCAATTTCAGACCTAGTTCAGGTCTGACCTATCCTGAATCCCATAACGGTTCCAATGTATGAACAATCTGGACTAAACTTGGACACTCAAGCTGATGAATCCTCACTTTGAATCCCATCAGATATTACGACACCCTGTAACGTACAAGTCCCATGTACTGGCTAATCTTGAAGCTCTACTAAACTACCTATAAGTGTTCCAAGTAGCATATCAAAGAGAACAGTCTGTAAAAACAGTGAAAATATTTCAAATTCCAGCCGATGTCGGCACTCCACCACCAGAATGCAGCTACGACGAGTTCAGTTGCCTGAACAGAGACTGCATCCCGCGTTCAGCTGTGTGCGATGGTCGCGTAGACTGCCCGGACGAAGAAGACGAGGCAAACTGTCCTAGAGGTACGTCCAGAAGCTCGCTCTAGAACTGTCCAATTGAAGAAACGAGGCAGGAACACGTGTGCACCGGCAAAAAAAAGAAGCAAAACAAAATACGTGTACTAGACATCACGTAGAGAGTCGTAGTCTGGCCCGAAGTGGGTAGAAAATGCTGCAGGGACCAGCTATGACCTGTACTGACCATTTCGAACATCCTCGAGAAGCTTCGATTGTGTACCCTTTGACAGACGTATCACAGAATGTTTCTGGGACAATTTGAAAACCCTCTGTTAGAAATCTATCTAGATAGTTGTCCACGAGGATGTTCAAGTTATTCCTCAACCTCTGAAATACACGTCTTTCGATGTTTCACATCGAGCTTTCGCCAGGATGTCGACGTCTGACCACGTCGTGGCCGTTTCCACTGTCTGTACATAAACTCTACTAAATCTTGCACACCTGATCCAGTAGATCACGCAACGCACCGGGTTGCACACGCAATGTTTGGCACTGGCCACGTGTCCCCACCGCCTGCTAGAGGCAACCAATCGTGCCGCACCGAGTCTGTACGTGCACCAATTCCGTCACAAATGCCTCGACCTGTAACTCCAGACTACTAATAGATCATCGAACACACTCTGGAAAAAGCCGGCGATTAATTTTCATAGTGTTCAGGCACAGGTCTAATAAAGACGTAGTATCTATCGTTAGTCTGGGGTACACAGTATCAAAATATTGCATATAGCCAATCAGAGACAGTGACTATGCGAGACCTGGAAACGTGATAGTAAGTAGTTACAGGGCTAAAAGTGTATTCCAAAGTGAGCAAACGTCAAGCACGAGAGGGAGAGAGAGAGAGAGAGAGGGGGAGAGATTTTGAAAAAAGAAACAATAAAACAAAAGGAACGATCCAACGATGCAAGGTGGCTCAGTTTCGGTTACTTCTAGGTATAAACGAGTCGGACAGAACCACCCTGGTGGGGCTAGTCCACAAGAGCCAGGCTAGCAAGGATTATCAAGAGCCTGCTGCTAATCTGAGCACACCAAGGAGTTGTGCTCCGGATGATTTTGTTTGTGCTGATGGCACTTGCATCCCAGAAACACACCACTGCGACCATTTCTACGATTGCCGCGACTTTACCGACGAACAGTATTGCTTCGGTTAGATCACTGCTAGACCTTGATGATCTGCTGGCGTCCCTACCCTCCAAATTATTCTATCTCGTTAATTTCCTTCTCTTTTCTTCTATTCTCGTCGTGTTAGTATATTCGATACGTTGCCTGTGTTGCTAAAAAAAAAAAAAAAAAAAAGGAAAGGAAGAAGAAAGTCATTTAACACGTTGACTGCCACGTAACATTTATATATTTTGCTCAGGGGGCCATAAAAGAATTTTCATTATTCTAAGCATAGTATTATATTATGCTTATTATGCTTTATTATTATTATTATTTGCTTTTCAATTCAAAATAACGTCTAGTTAGTTATGGCGGTCGAAATTTTTAGTTGACGATATTCATTCTATTTGAATTATTCTAAACATTTGAGGCCCTCCGGTCACGGATGACTACCGCGGGCCCCATCGGGGAAACAATCCCCAGTCACAGGTGACCAACGTGGTAGTCGACGTGTTAATTTGTACCTTCAATTGGCTAGGTGATCGTTGATTGGGGTATCGATAGGAGAATGATGTTTAGAGTTCGTTTGATACATGGACGCCACAGATTCTCTAGGCTCTGCACTTTTCTTCTTTCAGTCTGTATTAGGCCAGTTCACGTAGGCTGTTCGAGTAGAGACTTGAGAATAAAGCTCAGTCACATATTCGAAGCATCCCTGTGTAAATCATAGTGCATCCATTTTTTTTGCCTGGTGTTGGTAGACAATTAGTATTAGATCTTGTCATGGCATGAATCAGTAGGTTTCTCATCTAGTAGCAAGCAAAGGACACTTTTGTTCGAGTTATTTGTGCTAGACTAGTTCCATAATGTTTTATCTGCGAGCACGCGCAGAAAGCTAAGTGATGGAACCTTTTTTCTGCGTGTGCTGACGATCATTGTACAACTGTTGATGATGTTATCACCTCTAGGTACTGTGATGAACCCTAGATCATTTAGTTCAACATGATTATTCTTTATGAATGTTATAACGCATAGTGTTTTCCATAGGATGCGGTCAAGATCAGTTCCAATGTGCCAACGGACACTGCATCAGAGCTGATCAGAAGTGCAACAAGTACATAGATTGTACTGATGGCTCTGACGAGCCAGAAGGGTGTGGTAGGTTCTTTAAATATTTAATTAACGTCCTTCAGTCGAATTTTGTGTTAATACTTTTATATATGAATCCTACCAGAGGATATAACGACGACGAAACCAGCGCCTGGCCGTTGTCTACCTGGCTATTTCATGTGTGCCATTGACAAAAACTGTGTACCACAGTCATCCAGATGCAATGGAATTCCTGAATGCAGGGACAGATCTGACGAAGAGAATTGCTGTATGTGATCGAGCTAAACGTTTATAACCTGTTCATGCTTTTTGCTACATGCTGTTCATTTTTTTCTTTGTACAGATAAACCGACAGACGCGGCACACCTCAATCTGAAGACCTATCCAAGCGAACAAGTAATCAAAGAGAGTAGGTATCGCAGCTCTAGTGACTATTAATGAAAGAACAATTCACCATACGACTATATAAATAAAGTAGACACTCTAGACAAAGATCGATTAATACGAATTTTGACTATTTTTGCTTACCTTGGCCAGATCCGGCGAAGCAAGGTAAGGCTTTCTACGAGGAGCAAACGCAAGTAATGATGTCTGAATTCTATAAACAGTGTGATTAATGAATGAACAATCGAGAGAATCGTTCTATTTCATCCAGCTTTATGCTGATTAATTTGTAATTCACATACAGAGGATGAATTGTGCATGCAGAGACGGTGTACGTACATCCAACTGAAAAGAATAACAGTTGTTGACCGCTTAATTTTTCTTTTTTTTCTTTTTTGAATCAGCGTTTTCTTTTTTCAAGTTCATTACATTTTTCGTACATATTACTCTCTTCACGCTCACACCTGAAACAATAAACATACTCGCTGTAACACGAGATGCTACTTACAGATACATTACAATTAATTCACGTAATACACGTAACGTAAGATGGTAGATTTCCATGGAGTGTACAATCTTATTTTGGGAAATTAGGTAGAGAAGTGGTATTCCAATGTCGTGACGAGGGTCCACTTCGAGCAAGGGTACGCTGGCTACGTGGTAACAACCTTCCTTTACCTCCTCAAAGCCAAGACAAAAATGGACGCCTTGAGATCCCGAATATTCAGTTGGCACACAGTGGACAGTACATCTGCGAGGCTGTTGGCTATCCTCCGTCTACACCGGGTCAACAAGTGAGCGTCTATCTCACTGTGGAGAAGTGTACGTACCTTGAGAACAAATCAAGA